TGCGCTGATTCTCCAAACCCCAAGAACGCAGGATTAATCAAATCGACCACATACTCTCCCAAATAAAGCTTGCAAATCCTCCCCAGGTCCCAAAGTTGATATCAAAATCTTCCAACTTCTGAATTAATCCACAACCTTACATATCAAATAAGCATAGAAATCTTCCCGTGAAATCGTATAAATGCTCACGATTGTGATCATTACAAAGAGTTGAACAGCAGGTAGGACTCACGGCCAAAGCCAACAAAAGAATCACCAAAGGCGATTATGCTTCCCTGACAAACTGAAAGGATAACTAAAATAATTTTTTTTTTTTTATGGCAAACTTGATTCATCCACAACTCTCAAGAATTAAAGCCTAGCAGGGAAAGTCAAATCACACCCAAAGACCTGCAATAGATCTCACGGGTAAGGAGTAGGAACCGAAGCCAGCCACCTCCCAACCATTCCTCGGGTAAAGGCTGAACAAAGCAACACAGCCCTCAATCAAAACCAAACCGAGCCCAACAAGAAACAAAGCCAAAACCGAGCTCAACAAGGCTAATACAAGCAAACACAGCCTCCACCCTAGAGCTAATCCAAGTCCAGCAAAGGCCAAACGAAGCAACTCAAGACCAACAACTAGAATCAAACCAAGTCAGCAGAACTAGAGCAAGCAAACACAGCCCACACTATAGCCAAACCGAGTTCAACAAGAAAGAAAGCCAAAACCAGCCCCCAACCAGAGCCAAACCGAGCTCAATAAGAAACAAAACCAAAACCAGAGCCAACCTTCAACTAGAGACAAAGCCAAAGTCAGCCCTCAACCAGAGACAAAGCCAAAGCCAGCCCCCAACCAGAGCGCCAAAGAGAGGCGATAGCTCGACTGATAAGGAGAGGAGAGAGCAGGATTTTGTAGATCTTCTTAAGACCACTCCTTGTTTCTCAAAAAAAGATCCAGTCTGGCCTTTTGCGTGTATATGTGGATGACATAGTGGTAACTGGAAATTCAATTCCTAGTCTAAAAGAATTGTTTGCGAAGAGAAAATATGCTTTTTTTGAGATGAAAGACCTAGGGAAGACCCAGCTCCAATGCCTTCCTAAGAGGGGCGGGCTAGCAGTGCGCCACACCTCACAAGGAGCTAAACCCAGCCTTCAGAACAAGCTGTAACACTTTCCAAATTAAATAAGTTTTCTCATAGCATATATTTCAAGCCAGGGAAAGCTACAGGAAACCAAAACCGAGCCCCCAAACATGCATAAAACAGTAAAATGCACTCTCAAGCATTCATCTTAAGCAAGAACCAGGCTAAAGCCAAAACCCCAACATGCATGAAATAGTAAAATGAACTTCCAAGCATTCATCTTAAGCAAGAACCAGTCATAAGATGCTAAAGCCGAAACCCCAACATGCTTGCAAGAGGAGCAAAAATCATTTCAAAGTCATGCCTTAACTCCCTAAATGTCTTAACTCC